CAGGAGAGGTCTGCCACGCCATGTGGTCTCCTCCGGGGGCAGGCGGGAATCGAACTCATGCGGAAGTGGCTTAAGCTTCTCAGTGCAGTGCTTTAACCCGCTGCGCCACCAGGGAGGGCCCCTTCCTGGGAACTTTTAAAAACTCTGATGTCATTTCATAGCACATCCCTTTTACATTCGAATGCATGGGGTAGGCTCCAGTCATCAGTATATATAAAGACAGCTAGATCATTCCAAGGGCAGGAAATTTGGAGAACACTGCCATATTTCATCAAAGAAATGTGCTGTGAACTATAAGAGAAAACTGCCAGTTAAACTCTGACAAAATGCTTCAGAAGCTATCACTACAATATGAGGTATCTCAATTTCAGATATATTAAAAATGGAAAAAATAATCAGCACCTCAGAGTGGATGGAACACTATAGTCACAAGAACGGGTGCAGCCATGGAATGAGAATCATTGGATTTTCCCTGGGGTGCACAGGACCTCAGAACAGAATGAACAGTTGGGTACTGTAACACTCTGTGTTGTTCAAAACAGGACAGTTCACGTTGTTCAAAATTTCATTTGTCTCAATAAGAAAATTAAACATAGACATTCCCATAAACCTCCTTTGATGGTATCTCCTAGTCCTCAGTCACCAGGGATCAGGGACAAGGAAGTCCTTCTGTGACTAGAATGTGGATATTGGTTCCCAACTGTACTGCCTTAATGCCAGCAATTTTCTGGAATACTGGGCCACTGGCAGACAACCATGTTGATATTTTAATTATATATGAGGGTTTCACATTGAGGAAGCAGGCAAAGGCCACATGGGCCATGGCTGGAAAATACATTTGGAAATAGCACCAGGAAACTGCTTGGCAAAGCATTTGGGAACAGTGTACCCTGCCAGCCAGGCTGTGGGTTGAACCATTGAGCAAATCCCATCTAGATCTCTCTAGAAAGAAAAATGTTAAAATGGTCTCTGCTCTTTAGTCATTAGTTCAGAAACCAGAGCTTTGCACAATTATGGCCCCAGGAAATATACTGGATTAGTGCTGGCCACACTGAGAAGACTGCACAGCTGCACCTCACCAATCCCCTGGTGACGCTGCTCTCCACTGGGCAAGCGCCAGGCTCCTTCCACGGTTGTAGGAGGTGACCCACTGGGTTCTGACTGATTGTGTTTGTATTTGTCTCTTCCTTTTTTAAAAATTTTTTAGAAGAATTATTTATGCATACAGAATGGGTACAGGCCAGAGGTGCAAGGGAGGTGAGAGGATTCACCCGAGACAGAGTGGGGAGTAGAATAGACAGATTGACAAAGTACACTGCTGAGGGGAGCAGGAGAGGTCTGCTGCGCCATGTGGGTCACCACCCTAGTTGGGGATCGAACTCGCACTTAAGCTGCTGTGGCTGGTTTGCAATACTGTGCTTTAATCCATGGCGCCACCAGGGAGGACCCTGTATTTGTCTCTTCTGAGACACAGAAAGAGTGGAAAACTGTTTCCTTCATCCCAACACACAACACAGCCACTGCAAGTAGGATCTCAATAAATGATGGAAGAAATGAATGTGGGCTCACCCTATTCACACACACACTCCTGCATGTGTCACGTGTATGTATATAAATATATACTTGTGTGTTTTAATGGCTATATCAGAGTCTCAAATTCTGACCTGAGCAAAGTTATTTATTTCAGGTGCCCATTCAGGATCCACACATTTTGCTCTGTTGAGGTAAAAGGATGTCACTAGATCCAATGAAAGGCTACAAATTCAACATCCAAGAGAATGGTTGAAACACAAGAGGATGCCATCTGATCAGATAACTAAGGACTAAAATGGCAGCATTGAAGTTCCATGGCTTCCATATGCCCCATACAGGAAGGGGGTTATGTTAATCTAAGAAATGTTCTTACCTCCAGGTACAGCTTTATTCCTCAACCCATTAAGTCAACTCCAGTGATTAACAGGCATCATGGAGTATAGCCAGATCACTTTCCCACACTGTAACCCCTTTTTTTCCTAGGGGGCACTTTCCAAATAGCTTTCAACACACAGGAAACCTCCTTCACTGGCAAGAGTCCAGGAGTTTGCAAATGTGTTGTTGCATTTGCACTCCTAAGGGGCATGACCTTTGGAACCTCACCCCTTTATTGCTGCCCAGGTATTTCACCAGTCTACTGTGTGTCAATTCCAGATCATTCTCACCCTGCTGCTGTACACACATCTCTCAGCCAGTATCCTTTTACACACAAACCACACTAACTTGATTTCCCACATTTATAACTCAAAAGGTCCTTACAGAAATTTTCCCTTACCACCAAGATTCTTTTGACATAGAGAGTAAGTAACATGATAGTCTGAGAACATTCTCATTGTGCTGTGGCACCTGAAGGAAACATATCTTAGCCAGGAAAAAAAGCAGATAACCTGCCTCCCGGGCAAATACAGCTACAACCTGGCTTCTTTATCGCTGTGACAAAATCTGGCCAGATACAACAGAAAACCCCACTAATCGTGACTTAACCATACAAGGTTTTATTTGCTCAAATAAAAGAAGTGGGGAAGTAAGCAGAGCTGGATTGACAGTTCTATGAAGCTCTTTCCTGCTTTTACCTCTGGTGTGACCCTGGTCCTCAGGTCTAACATGGCTGTCACAGCCAAGCCATACTGTGTCCCAGGCAGCAGGAAACTTGGCAGTTGCACACACCATACTTTCAAATATATGTCACTAAGTAGAATTTGGTCTCAAGTCCATACTGGGCTACAATGACAATCAAGAAGTAAGCTTCAGCTGAGCCCAGTGAACCTTTCCACTAATGGAACACACAAACCTGGTGGGAAGCAGTGAGCATGCATCACCGTTCTGCCTTGCTTGCCAGAGCAGCACAGCTTGAACCTAGGACAAGAAAGGAGCAGACAAACCCAAGCAATGGGTCTGTCATCTCCCAAAGTATCAGGGACATGAAATGATGAAGTGTGTGTCCTGAGATGAAAGGGTGCCCTGTCCAGGGCTGGCTGAATACAAAAAATTGTTCAATATTATAAGTGTTTTAAGTCTTTATAAGTTTGGTGGATTACCTGGGACCAGAAGTATGCTATAGAAACTTAACTCTTGTTTACGACAGTTTTGCGTCAAAGGATTAAGCGGGATCTTAAAGCATATCTCATTGTCTGTATTTTCAGACCACAATTGCCAGCAGGTATCTGAAGCCTCAGGAAACAAAACCATACGTAAAAGACTACTGTATTCTTCTTGAAACATTTCTTTTTTATTGTTTTGTTTTTAAAGATTTATTTATTTATACATACAAGAACTGGCCAGAGGCATGGGGGTGAGAGGATTTACCAGAGGCAGAGTGGGGAGCAGAACAGGCAGATCAACTGAAATACACTGTTGAGGGGAGCAGCAGGCGAAGCAGGCGAAACAGGCGAGGTCTGTTGCATCATGTGGGTCAGCTCCCTGGTGGAAGACCAAACTCGTGCTGCAGTACTGAGGATAGCTTCATAGTGCTGTGCTTTAACACACTGCGTCACCAGGGAGAGCCTTCTTGAAAACATTTCCATTTATGTGCAGTAGATAAAAACAGGTAGTGATGGATATGTACATTTGTATATACAAAAAAAAAAAAACCAGGAAAATCTAGCTAGATACAAAAGCCATCTGTGAGTATCTCTGGGAAGTAGAATTGTTTGAGGGGATAAAAGGCAGACAAGTTTTCTTTGGGGGATATACTGCTTATATTTATTTATGAGTAGATATTATTTTCATAAAAGTATAAGATAAACACCAGGAAAAAGATCTCTGAAAAGGACATCAGGAGACTGGCCATGGGTTTCTTGGCAGTGAGGCAGAGAGGGAACAATGAGAAGCAGAGCACGCTGTCTCTGCTGTACCCTCAGGCTCCTCCACTGAGCACACAGGCCACCCCCTCCTCCCAGGCAAGGTTCCCAGCTTGATCACCATCTGCTTTCCTGTATTGCAAGACTGGCCTCCCTCTTTAGCTCTCTGTCTAGTGTCTACAAGCACCCTGAGGACCCATCTGTCTGGTATCAAGAGGACACAGAAAGCATGGTTCCTGTGATGGGCCCGGCTGTGTCTCCCCTGAGTGGGCATGTTGGGACCCTACTCCCACATGACCTTATTTGGAGAGAGGGTCTTTACAAAGGTGATCAAGTTAAAATGAGGCCACTGGGGTGGTGGCCCTCATCCAGTAGGGCTGTGTCCCTCATAAGAAGAGATCGGGACAGACACAGAGGGAGGGCGATGTAAAGACACGAAGGATTGTCAACCTACTCTTGCAGCTCTTATCTATGCTTGAGGTTATTGTAAAGTAAAGTTGGAAATTTAAAGTTACAATGAAAGAGGGTTAAACTCCTGGGAAACCCACTTCAGACCCAGCCCCTGGCCCTACAGAAATGGCTGGATTTAAATCTATGCTCTAAATGGTTTTATTTCCCCCCCAAATACTTTCCTCAAAAGATATCTGATGTCCCTGAAACATGAAAAGAATCCTAGAATTTGAATCTGGAAAGATACACAAATGCAGTTAAATGACTAAAGAGTCATTTCTGGTGACCCTTATGATTGATAGTCCAGCGGGCCTTGGAGAGAGGGCTCTTGTGGTTAGGGGTAAGGCTGTCCCTCTTCTCTCAACCCAGCCACAAGGCTTGCCTGACTTGATGGGAGAGTTCCAGATCAGGCTTCCTACCAACATTTTCACTGCCGATGATCTGCTCCGATGGCATCTGTGACACTGGTAAAACCCTGTTCCCTGGAAAGAGTGAAAACAAATTTCAGCAGTGAAAAAGGGGACCTCCTCTTCCTGGAGGGCCTTGTGTACCTAGTCATTGCTAACCCTAACTCTCCTGCCTCTCCCAAATCCCAGGCCTTTTATGTTGCCAGGGCCCCAGGGATATTTCCACCCAGGTATTCAGGCAAGGGACTGATTCTAAATCCTGCCAATGGTAGGCGTCACTGTTAATGAATTGATGAGATGCTAGCAGAGCTCCTCCTTCACTAGCGGGCCTGTGAGGTTCACCGTGAACACCCTGCCTCTGTCCTTTGTCAGAGGAGCAACAGAGTAACATTCCCCTGCATTCAGACTGTACCTTCAAATCCTTTCTGAATAGCACCCCCTGACAAGCCACAGAACTAACCCCTCATTATCTTCTCCTGTTCCCAGCCTCACTCACTTTAACAGGGCTTCCAGCTCTCGCTTGACTCGGCCCACCACAGGCGGGCCCTGGTAGGTGAGGGCCGTGTACAGCTGCACCAGAGAGGCCCCTGCACGGATCTTCTCCAGTGCGTCCTGCCCGCTGCTGATACCACCAACCCCGATGATGGGGACTCTGCCTGCAGAGAAGCACATGCACCATCGTGAGGAAGGCTGATGGTGTGAGGACCAGGAGCTCAGTTTGCCCAAAGGTAACAATTCAGGGACCACAATTCCTATCACAACCTGGAACACAAGCTGCACACAGATCTGAGGACATGGATATCAACTTGCCTTGAGTGAGTGTGTACATCTGCCGGATGGTTTTGGTGGATAAGTCCTGGAGGGGCTTTCCACTCAGCCCTCCCATTTCAGAGCGCAGGGCGGCCTGGAGGCTGGCAGGACGGCTCACAGTGGTGTTCGTGACAATCAATCCATCGATGCCCAGCTACAGTGGGAGATGAGTAAGAGCCCTCCATTCCTGGCACTGATGGGCCAGCAAAAGCTTCCCTGGGGTTCAGACAGAGCAGGGATGCTGGTGCCGACTCTGTAGCCCCCAGAAGAGCTATACCAGATCTCTCCGTGCTGCCTGCACAGGAGTCATACCTAGCTTCCAGGTGACAGTGGCAGCTGTCATATACTGATCACCCAGCAGTTTCCATCAGCATACAGCTTAGTCCTTAGAACAACCCAAATTTACACATCCAGGCCAAGGCCTCCCAGGGCGCTGTGCTGTACTGTGCAGCACTAACCATAAATCCCCGCAGGGTAAAGAGAAGGGAGGTCTGAGCAAAAGACTCATTCTATTATGTGATCTGACTGCAGACCAGCCTTTTGTGTCAAAGTAAGGAGAGCACAAAGGCAGCCACAGACGGCCTCTACAAGCAATGAGGGGTGTCCCCCAGCCCGCGCCTGACTCGCACCTCTATCACCACTCCAGCGATATCCTCCTGGTCCTGGACTGAGAGGTCGGGCGCGATCTTCACCAGCACAGCTGGCTTGTGTGCCCCCTTCAAGGCTTCCCTCTCCTGCAGCACCTAGAGTGACAGGTGGCCAGAGATGGGGACCCCCCAGAAGCACAGCCTGCTGGCATCACCAAGACCTGCAGCCACAGATCACGTTTTCATACCTGCCTTCAGTGTAAAGCAATTTCTCCTTTCCAGGAAACAGCTCCTGGTTATGTAAATGACCCCATCAAGATGAATCTGATTTTACTCTCTCAACCAAGGAGTCCCCAAGAATGAGTCCCTGGTGTTATTAGTGGCCTCAGGTAATATGTTATGGCTTATTAAGGCTTTTGTTCTTATAAAAAAAAAAAATAGGACATTCAACCTAATGCCAAGCCATTGGATCATCTGGTTGAAAGGCACAGGGCAGGAAATGAGGGATAAGGCCCCTCTCCTCACAGACCTGTGGCTTAGACAGGTGGCATAATCAGTGTTATGATAGAGGATTAGAGGTATAACACGGGGTCTTCACTGACCCAGTGTGAAGGACAACTCCTCAGCAGTGACCTCTCCCTTTCCAGAACGAACAGTCTGTAGGACACGCTAGTAGAATGAGACCTGATGGTGTAATTTCCCACCTTGGTCAGCAGGCGGCGCAGCTCACCCTTTCCCTGAAGGCTCCGCAGCCCAGCGGTGTTGGGACTGGAAACATTCACCACCAGGTAGTCAGCCAAAGGGCCCAGGACTCGAACCCCCTCTGCATAGTCGGAGGCAGCGTCCACGGAGGTCTTATTCTTCCCCAGATTTATTCCCAGCGGCAGTCCATCTGTAAATATTGCCGGTCAAAGTTTTGTCCCCAGACAGCACATTCTGGGCAATAATTTGAAATTGTCCTAAAGTAAATAGCATTAGACAACAACCTTCTAGGCTTTCTACCCCAAATGTGGAAGCATCTGCTGACTAATAATGTGGACCCCTGCAACTGTAGGCTGTTTTATTGCACCGTGCCTTTTTCCTTTTTTAAAAACTTAACAGAAAATGGACAAACTAGAAGTACAAGTGCTAGTCTTAAAGGTAAGGCTCATAAATGTCATATGATGACGAGACAGAGATGAACCACAAGCTAGAAAGGGCAACTGTTTACTATCAAGGGTTGCTTATAGGACTTGAATGCAGTCATGATGAAATGCCAAATCAGAGAACATGTTTTCAACTATTATGCCTAAAAAGCAGTGGTCGTTATTGCATCACTTCAGTTATCCAACAGGGATTTCCCTTATAACTAGGGAACCCCAGTGCTTGCTGGACTGTCCTCAGCAGTCCTGCAGCCTGGGCATCACTAGTAACGCCTGACCCCTTTCACCCTCAACAGCCTGCACAGGAAATATTATGACCACCTTACTCTAACATCCAGGGGTTATCACTAGACTTGCATTTTTAACTTGCAGAAAAATACATTTCAGAATCAGGCTATGTGTAAAAGCAAGGGTTTGTCTGTACTTGACTTCCTCCATACCATCTTCTCTGAAAAGGTCAGTGGTATGTTGAGGGTGCCAGTTGCTTATCTAGCAGCAGGGAAAAGCCCTGGAACAGTGAGTGAGTGCAAATGCCCATAGCACAGGTGTCAGGTCAGGAAGCCTCAAAGAACAGCATTTACTCTGGTAACTGCTTTCTCCCCGCTCCAGGTAGTTGCCCTCTTATGGTCACCTTGAAAGTAAATGAGATTTAAGTAACTAATTTTATTGGAGAAGAGAGGGAGTGGAGCAAGGCTTAGAACCCAATTAGATTCAAGCTCCCCTGTCAAGCCAGGATCATCTGCAAGCTTTTCCACGTAGGTCCACTGGCTTGAAAGAAAGTATCACTTCCATAGAGCTAATGGATCTTTCTTTAGTTGTCATCTACCCACACTGACGAGATTTTGTTAAGAGTTGGAAAGAAATCGCTGAATTACTCTTATCTCCAAGGGCACCAGAGCTTTGAACAACTCATGCTCTCTGGCACAGTGTTAGCAATAAGCTCCTCTAGTTGCCAGCTGCTGGCCAATGCCACAATATAAAGCTCTGCTCCAAGCATCTGCTTCATTCCAGTGAATGCAGCCACAGAGTGGTGAGTGAGGAGGGCCAGGAAGAGCACAGTGGACAACTAAAAGGAGAGTGAGGTGAAAAGGAAAGGGAGTATCACAAGCCCTTCACCTTCCAAGTTCCCCAAGTCAGCTCATGACCTTCCAAGTTCCCCAAATGGGAAGGTCTCCAAGGCCAACAGTCACTTCCTTCACCCCAAATCAGACTGCTAATCACCTTTGCCCTGAAATGAATCTGCTCTCCATTGTTTTTTCTCATCTCACCACCAGGACATCTAATGAGCTTAAACTCAAGGAATGAGTTCTAGAAGGACCCAAAGAGGAAAGTGGCTGTGTTTGTATACACAATCCCAGGGGAACCCAGGCAGGTGAGGTCAAGCCAGCACAGACCTACAGCCACTACATGCATCTGAGCAATGGGAAAGTGGAAAGCCTCAGAGAATAGATAGCAGCATCTCCGAAGGTGGCCTTCAGAAATGCAGACTGAAGCATATTTCCCACATGGCAGGAGGGCTGTCCCTGAGAAAGGACTGTGAGTAGTTTTCATTTTCTTCATGTGTCTCTGTATTTACTAATAGCTCTCTTATAGTTAACATGCACTGTGCATCTAACAGACAGCGCACAACCCAGCAGGACACAAAGGGAGAAGCCACTCACACCACTCACATCTCATATATCTGTGTGGGTACAGGAGAGCTGCTCTGCTCTGCTCACTCCCCCAGGTATGATGGAACACGGGTTACATGACAAGGCAGAAACTCCATTGTGAAACTCTCTTAAAATCTTGTCAGCTGTGCTGGACCTAGAGCAGTCCCTCCAGCTGAGGAGGCCTGGTGCTTTATCCTATTGTTCAATCAGGTTTATTTCTCTGGGGATGTTCCTGACATTTGGCCCACTTGTTTGCTTCCCAAACATGTAGAGAGCTGATGTCAGACCACCCCACCTTACCTTCTGTGAGCTTGGTCTGCATCTGCTGTCTGGCTCGTAACCTGTGTTCCACCACCGAGAGCCCATGACTGTTAAATCCATATCTGCAACACGTGAGTGTAGAAAGGGGACAAGTTAGGACCCTCACCAGCAGGTGGCGATTCAGGGAGATGACTTCATGGCCATTTCCACAGTGTACTTTTGACTTTTAAAAATAGAAAATAGGGCCCTCCCCGGTGGCGCAGCGGGTTAAAGCACTGCACTAAGAAGCTAAAGCCACTTCCGCATGAGTTTGATCCCCACCTGCCCCAGAGTTGATCCACATGTCGTGGCAGACCTCTCCTGACCCGCCCGCTGCTCCCCTCAGCAGTGTACTTCATCTATCTGCCTGTTCTGCTCCCTGCTCTGTGTGTGGTGAATCCTCTCACCATCCCTGCACCTCTGGCCTGTACCCAGTACTGTATCCATAAATAAATAAATCTTTAAAAAAAAAATCCTTAAAAAAAATAGAAAATAAATAAAGTCAGTCAGTTTTTAGACTTCCAAGGTCTCCAAACCCTGGAAATCAACACTTCTGGAGATACAAACTTACAATAGCTGGTCAGCCAGCTAACACTGATAACAACCTGGCCTTGGCCAGGGAGCTGCGCCAAACCTATCCACTCTTCCTCATCCCCTCCTCCCACCCAGGGGTGCCCTTGCCAGGCCGAGACCCCCACTTCCACCTCCTGAGTACTCCTCCCAGAATTCATCCTGTTTCTCCATTTCTACAGCCTTACTACCTGTGAAGTCTCCTCTGTCCCAGGGACACCAAATGCTCCCTGTCCTGTACACAAAGGAGTCCTCAGCCTTGGCTTCTGGGTGTATGTATATGCTCAGATTCCCCTACGGAGTTATCATCTTGAGGACGAGATGGGTCTTCCTTAGCCATCACCCATAAAGTGCTGGATGCATCATAAGGTAGCTGGACATTCCATAAAGCAGGAACTTTATCTCTCCTTCTCTAGCCCCACTATGGGTATTGATGCAAGGCCACTCCCACTCCATTCCCCCAAACCAGTAGAACTCTACTCTCCTGATGTGGGTGAAATGGCCTGACTTCTTTCCCAGCCTCACTGGGAACCATGAAGTGGTAAATGGGCCTGGCCCCTAAGACACAGGAGATGCCCCTGAGGGAGCTTCTGGAAACTTCACCATATACATGCCCACACACACACACATTTTGGCTTCGTTTTCCCTTTCAGCCTTGGGATGTCCACCTGCCAGGTAGCACACTGCGGCTGTGGGGGAGGTGGGAAGGAGATAAGGTCCTGGGGAGCTGGGCCGGAGTCCTGACATTGCCCTGCTATTCAGCCAACCCTGAGCTTCCCACTACACCTGCTAGGAGATGAAGATAATGCAAACACCTATTATTATGCTACTAAGTTACTGGTAACCAAATGCCTAACCACTACAGGACACGTGCACTTGTTGACTTCCAGACTAAAGCCAGCTGCTGTTCAGCCGCATTCACTGAGCACCCGATATGTGCACACAGTGCTGTGCGTGAACACACACGTGTCCAGAGCTGGCTCACTCTCACCCCTCTCCTCTGTAGGGTTCTGCCAAGTACCATCAGCCCAGTACCTGCAGTTACTATGGCAGCCGAATCATGAACAAATATATTTTCCCTGAACATTCTCAAGATATCGATCCCAGCCTTCAATGCAACAGAAAGATCAATAACTTGATCTCTCACACCAAAAAATGCCCCGAAATAAGCATAATAAAGTGGGCTGTGCGATTATCTAAACTTCCCTTAGTCCCCTAGAAGACCATTAATAGCCCCAAAGATGTTTATCAAAACTTCCCCCAGGATGCTCTTCCAAACTGGTTCCCAAAAAGTAGGCATTTCTTCACTTTCTGAGCCAGGATTAGAGAAAGGCTTAATCTGATCTAGAAGGATCTCTTACTGAAAGCCGTTGTGTCTGCTGATTTTTAATTTCCCAGCTCACTCCAGGCGAGGGCAGCACTGTCCCAGCAAGCGCTGTGGGTGGCTGCTGAGCAGCAGGGGCACCTCCCTCCCAGGACAGTTGATAGCACGACTGGAAGACTCGGGACAAGGAAGGTAAAAGCCACTTCATCACTTTTACGTTGAATATCTGTTAAAACGATGCTATCTAGACTATACTAGGTATTTATAATGAAGTGGTATAATAACGAATGATAAAAATAATCATTACGTTGAAGATATCAAAATTAGCTTCACCTATTTATTTTTACTTTTTTAATGTGGCCACTAGAATAGTTTAACCTACATGTGCATTTGTGGTGGACAGCACTGGCAAGGGCAGTAGACAGTGCAAACAAAGCAGACTCCACTGTGCAGGCACCTTCTTTTCAAATGCATGTAGGACATTTTCAAGAGCAGACCATAACTTGATACACAAGTCAACTGCTGATAAAACTACAAAGATGGAAGTTGTACCTAGTACTTGCTGGCTGTAATGCCATTAGAAATCAACACTAAGGGAAAACTATGAATACATGGAGACCAAGCATGCTGCTCAGTGACAAGGGGACAAAAGAGGAAATCAAAGCAGAAATTAAAAAGACCTCGAGATGAATAAAAATGACACTACAGTGACCAGAACCTAGGGGATGCAGCAAAAGCAGTTTGAAGGGGGAAGGTAATTGCAATACAGGATGCAAGAAAAATAAAACAAGCCTACGTCCATACCTAGGCTTTCCCAATGACAGTGTCAGGACTGTAGCAGTGTTATGGAGAGCTGAGTTATGTGTGTATGTGTCACACTAAAGTCATCAAACCTACTCTTCTGCCTGGTAAACAGGAGATGCTCCATCTGGTTTCTGAACGTGCCCACGGTCAGAAAAATGCCCACATTGAATGACAGAAAAAAAAAGAGGCAGGGCTTACATCCCTGAGGGCAGAGGCACCCCTTCTTCCTCTGGGCCATTCGCCTACCTGTTAATGATGGCCTGGTCCTCGGGGAGGCGGAAGACTCTGGGTCTGGGGTTTCCTTCCTGAGGCTTTGGGGTAACACTTCCTATCTCAACAAAACCAAAGCCCATCTTATAGAGTCCATCCACTGCTTCCCCATGTTTGTCAAATCCTGCAGCAATTCCTACTGGATTTCGGAATTTATGACCCAGAATTTTCACCTCCTAGGGCAAGAGAAAGCAAGTCAGAAGTACATAAGGTCATATCATGATCCAGCCCCACACTAAGAAATCATAGTTTTGAGGGAAGGATGGGGCAGAATAAAGATATGAGCGAATCTGTTTCCCACGGTGCTCTCCAGGTAAGTCTGATGTTGGCTCATTAGCTTTATCAACATTGAGACTGAGGAGGAAAATAGTATTTCCAGGATAAGTTGAGTGGAATGAGCATGTCTCTGCAATAGCAGTTTAGGTAATTATCTTATCCATTTTCCTTGGGGAGACAGAGCTATTGTCGCCAGCTATTCTGAAACATAGGTCAAGCAGGTATATCCTTTAATTAGCAAGGCAGCCCTGCTGGAACCCCCCTTCAGCCCAGCTGATAGAAAGCTCCAGCAATGGCCACAAAGTGCCAGGAGGAAGAATGTACCAGGGGCTGGGGTGGGGGTGGGGTGGGGTCAGGCCTGTATGCTGTGCTCCAGAACCAAGCTGTGCTGTCATGAGGTTCTTCTCCCTCAGATGTCATGTGGATTCCAATTTGTTCTCTACAATGAGAGTGACCAAGACCTACTGACTATATTGTCTAGCCTCACTCCTAAGGTAATTCAGGATTCCTGTCTTGAGGGGCCCAACAAACCAAGTGATAAGACAATCAAGAGATATCACAAGCCAGTGACTGCCAACAGAATCCATCCCTGGTGTGGCTGGTGCAACCAGTAAAACCTTTGCCAGGAACGGCAAGGCTCTCCAAAGGTAGATGCTGCTGATCCTGGACCCAGGAAGTAGCAAGGCTGCTCCAACAAGTGAGAACAGCAACAAATGAGGGTGAGAATCCGCAAATGGCAGCTGGGGCCTGGAAAGGACTGTGCTGGCAGGATCTGCCCCAGGACAGTGGCTGTCACCTCTGGCTACAGTAAAACTCCCTGGGGATTTAGTCCTTATTCCATCAGACAGGGTGGGGAATGTCAGACTGAGAGGCTGGTCAAGACAGGGGCTTGAGCAGACCTGCCTTGATGACCTTAGATGTCTAATGAAGTTACAATGTTTAATGTTTCCCTACTTAGTGGAAGGAACAGCTGAGCTACTGAGACCTCAGCAAGGCAGGATGATGGTGTCTAAGGGGACGCATCCAGACTGGGTTTGCATCCTGCCTCAGCAACTTCCTAGCTGTGTGACTTTGGGTAAGTCATTTAACTATTCTGTGCCTATTTCCTGATCTGTAGGTGGGGATGACAGTTTTTATTTGGGTTAACTTGGGCTTCTGGTTTTTCAAAGCATCAACCTCAGCTAAGTAAATCAGGGCAGCACCTACCAGCATGTCAGAGTCTTGAAATGTGGCACGAGGAAGGAGCCCCAAGGAAGTGCAGCGAATGGCTAGCCTGTGGGCTGACTCGGGGTCCAGCAGGCTCTGCAGTGCTGGCATCAAGTGTTCAGCGTAGAAATGCTCATCCCCCTTGGCTGTCAAGTAGGAGGCGAAGAGAAACCCACCGCCCCCCAGGATAACAATGGCATCCTGGATCTTCTTCTGGAAAAAAAGAGCCCATCAAGGCCAAGCTGCAGCATTCTCTCTGAGCCCTTACACCCCCACAAACACACAGAAGACCAAGAACATGTCATATGAAGTGATGATGTCTTGCTAACACTGGTCTCCATTTCATGCCTTGCTCTAACAGCTTCTACAGTCAGAGGCTGTACCCACACTTCTGCTGGCAAACACTCATCTGGCCCTCAGGCCAGAGACTCCAGGAGGGGCACTAGTGTTCCCAGGGGCATGTGGTGGGCATTTCTGTTGGCTACAGTAGTGAAGACAGGCTAATAGATGAGTGGGCAGTACTCAGTAAAGTCAGATGTCCCACACTGCTCCAGACCATCTGACAGATAAACTGCCATTGTCCTGAATGAGTTTTGTAGTCCTACTGACATTCAGTAGCTAAAAAATATCTATTCATATTAACTAAGTTTAGAACCTATCTATATTTCACCACATGAACTACCTCGTGCACGGTTTCATATACGCTCACTTTTCCAGGAATGCAATTACCTTGTCATTTGCAAGGTGACTGTACTGTTTTGCACATAACATTACCAAGAATAGCTCACCATTTCAGAAAATCCCTTCAGGAGTGCTTTGTTTGTGGTGTCTAACAAATGCACCTCTAGTGCTAGAATTTCTAGCCAAGACATTAAACACCCAATTCTCACTGAGTTATGCCCCAACGTTTACATACTGAACACACACCAGTTCGTTACAAATTCCTTCCTTTAATTTCTCCTTTATATAACAGTTAGGGAATTACATTGACTTTTTAAAATTATAGAGAAAGATTTATACATAACTTCCATTTCAGGGAAATAAGATAAGTTGCAAAGTATTATTCTAAAGGCACTCCAAGTCTTACTGGGTCAAGAACCAAGATCCTAGATAACCAGTAAAGGTGAGGTTGCGGACCCCTCCTCTGGGCACTTTCTTAATATTGGCAACACCTGTGCCTCAAAGACACCAACTAGGGGTCATTAAGATCCAGTTAAAGAAGAAAAGAGTGTTCTAGAGTGAAAATATCAAAAGCTGTCAGTTAACTAGACCAGCTGGAGACTCCCTGAGCCTGCATGAGCCCCTTGTGCCTACCTCTTAATATGTCCCTTTCAGAAGGGGCCTGGGAAGCCATAAAAGCCTTTTAAGAGAGCCTGGCTCTACCACTCCCCACAGTAGAGCTTGCTATCTAAATTAAATTTCCTTTGCAGAAATTCCTCTTGGTTCAATTTTCAGCATTCTGAGCAAGCAGCAAAATGATTCAGGTCCATAACATTAGTCAAGTATGGCTCATGATGTTTTATTTAATTATCAGAGTAAGCCACTCACTAATTCAATCACCCCTAAAATATGCATTGCACACTCAAAGGTCAGATAATGGAGAGTACACTTGTGTGAGGAGACAGCAAATACATAACTTGCCAATTGCTATGAATTTAAAATGCATTAAGTAATGTAAGAGCTCAGCCTACTCACAGATGTAGGGAAAGGCTTCCTTGAGGAAATGACATTTAACTATGAAAGTCAAGTAGGAGTTAGGAGGGGGAGGAACAGGTGCAAAGGTTCTCTTAGCAGTAAAGAATGAGATGTGCCCCCAAAATGGGGAAAAGGAAAAGGCCTGTTGGGGACAGATGAGTAAAGAAACTATGGCTATAAAGAAGTTGGGGTGACAGGTTGTAGTCTTGGCCAAAATAAAAGTTTGGGTGTTGTTTTCTAAACTAAAGTGACAAGACCAATATTGCCTTTAAGGGTCACTGTTGGCTGTTAATGCGGACTGGGCATACACTGCCTCGTTTCTACTCTTCCCCTGGAACTAGCTGCTATGCCCATGTCACTCAGCAAATACGAGATGCCCGCCCGAACGTTTTAGCTAAAAGTACTATACTGTCTTTTGTCATTGTATTCCACGCTGGCTCAATGCACAATGCTTGGAGTCATGTTCACTAAGGCCCCTGCCAGGCTCAAATTAAGTGTGGCCCACGTGCGCTGACACGGGTCGTCATCGACCCAGACGTGCCCTTCATACACGGATCAAGTACACGTGTAAAGGCACGCGCACGACAGGATCAGTAAGTGCCCAAAGACACATTAGCTTGTCAAAAAGGCCCACGCTCTCCCGTCCACACCTTATCCAGGGGAATAGTCCATTCTCCCCTCGCCCCGCTACCCGCCGGGACTTCTCGCCATCACAAGAGCCCCACTTTCCAGACTCACTTTGAGCTGTGTCCACGCCATGCTCCTTCCGCTCTTGGGCCCGCCTCTGTCTCATTTCCATTGAAGAAGATGGCAGTAGGTCCTCCAATACCGCTCCCTGAAACATCCAATTCACCACTCATCGGGCAGATGGGCGGGGCGAACCGCGACGAGGACGACGCTGCCCGGCCCCAAGGACCTGGTTGGACGCCGGTGCGCGCGCTGCGCAATCGCGCAGCCACGCTTCTTCCGCCCTCCTGACGCTGTCCTGGGCGGTGGTACTTGGCGCTGCGGCTTGCCGCTGCGCGAGCTTGTCTGTTGTCATGCAAGCGGGACGAAAGACTGCCCTACTCACATGTTGAGTCTTCGGTTGCAAACAGAGTCCTAAATGCAGCCATCCTCCTGTGTTCAAGGGTTGGAAATACTTTTGTCGTCATCAAAACCTTCGTAGACGTAACCTATATCTCTCTATTAACTACTTTATTAACTACAGTTATTGTACTTTCTTAGCTGATCATTTTATGCTTCTTCCCGAGTTAAATGTTGTGAAAGTTGGAGCCATACCATATTTGTCTTTCATTTGATTATTGAAGTGTTGGTCGACCTAATGGATGTAGTCTTGGAATCTACACTGCAAAGAATGGTTTGTTTTGGCCTCCGCTTCGACACGTTTTTAAAAGAGATGTAAGCATCATGTCGACCATTTGGGTAACTAACAACCCTGAAACCTACCAACCAATTTCAGTGCCCAGGTTTATTTGTAAGTGCATGAATGCATTAATGATCACGTTTTGGTACCAAGAAAAAGAACTGGCTAAAATGCGTAAATGATGGAACAAATGACATGCTTTATGAACAGAAGTTGTCCAACAAGTTATATAAAGAAAAGTGATGAGAAAATGGATTCTTCTTGCAGCATAAAGTAACACACATGCCAAATTCAATAGAACCTGTGTGGTCAAAGCCAGAGCCACATTTATCTGACCAGTGGCTGTTTGGTTTAGCAAAGCTAAATTTCACTTACTCTCAGGTGTGTTTGTATTTCGTTTGTATTCATTCTTCAATCAAATATTTATTCTTTGGTTTTTATCAATATGGAAGAACTTAAGGATAGAGTTGATGTCTAGTGTTATGTATGAATGTACTTAAGACTATGTAATCATTTAAATCTATCTTAGGGGTCTGCAGGAATGATTTTCTTTAAAGAAAAAAAAAAAAAAACCCACACACAATACACTGTTTGATTTTAGTAACACTGACTTAAATGCATCATTGTCTACTCTCTTACAGCTAGACCAAGCAAGTAAAGCTCTATTATAAAGCTAATGGCATATCAAGCTGTGTAGACACAGATGGTACTGCCCCAGTTATAAAGGCCGCTTACTTTATTGATCTTTGCTGTTTGTTTTCAGCTTACAGGAACTCCACATGGATTCTCAAAACATGGCAAAACAAAACCTTTTGTCTCCTTGAAAAATTAGACCCAATTCCTAACAATACCATAAATAAGTAAAACAAACCCAAGAAGATATTTAAAAGACCAGGCAGTAGGTGAACCCCACACTTTTCTTGCTTTGTGTTCACAGAAAAAAAAAATGTTTTCCAAAGGAAGCCCTTGGCTTTGGTTGTACTTTAGAACAGCTATTGTTCTGGGAAGTGAGTTAAACTGCCCAGAGCAACATAGACAAAAATCACTGTTATAAGTTTTAACAAGTTTCACTGCAGCCTTGAGGAAGCAGAAAATTACTATTCTGCACAAGGAGGGCTCCTTGCTTATACTTGGAACCAGGAGGTTCAAGAGTTTATCTGGGACTTCCTAGAAAAAGGGAAGAAGTGGTGGATTGGGCAAAATTTAATGCTGCCGGGAAAGCATAAAAAATAAGACAATTCAGGTAAGGATCTGAGGTTCCAATTTTATGAAGAAAACTGTCTTGTTTTTTATCCTGGCACATGAGAAAGAAAAAAAATACATAGAAAATTTAGTCTTTTTACATCATCACCATCATTCCTCTGAAAAAATTTCCTCTTTTCGTGTCTCAACACTTGATATGTCAGTGCAACAAAGATAAAGATTTTCTCAGAGTGCATCAAATTAGCTTAATGTGTTATTTCCCTAAAAATATTATATAAAGTTCTAAACAGAGAAGGCTTTTAGGATCACTTTCCTAGGAAATAATTGCATCGTCATCATTTCTCATCCCAATTTTCCTACTGCAGTAGTTAGGCAAGAAATTATTTGCCTGTTGTCTCTACTACATAGGTTTTTTTTTTTTTACAAAAGTTTATTTTTACATCATTTTGTACATTTTTTTTCTTTTTTTTTCTTCCATCTCAATTGTAATCCCTGAGGTTTGTTTTTTTTTTTTTAAGATTTATTTATTTGTGTATACATAACTGGGGTAAAGACCAAAGGTACAGGGACAGTGAGCGGCTTCACTAGAGACAGAGTGGGGAGCAGAACAGACCGACTGATGAAGTACACTGCTGAGGAGAACAGCAGGCAGGTCAGGAGAAGTCTGCTGTGCCATGTGGTCACCTCCAGTGTGGGGATCGAAATCATGCTGAGGTGGCTTTAGCTTCTTAGTGCTGTGCTTTAACCCACTGTGCCACCAGGGAGGGTACCACATAGGTATTTTTGATTGTGCACCATAATCTTGTGACCTTACAGGAGAATCCAATGCATTATCATAGCATCTTCCCCTAAATCTATGTAATTAATACTAACCCTTGTGATAAAGAAGGAAAAATAAGTACTCCATAACATGTGGTAGAAAATAACAAATTTTCATCTATTGGAAGCTAGAAAACTATGGTTTTTATATTTACATTCTAAATACTTGAGTCTGAGTCTGAGGCTCTCCTGGATCTGGTCTCTCTTCAGCTGATGCCACCACCACCAAGCAGCAGGTAGCAGAGCCTAATAGCTGCACCTACCTGTTCAGAAAGTCCAACCAGATGGCATCTAAAGTGGACTCGTGCTCACAGGGACATTATTTCACTGGCCAGACTGGTAAGTGATGAAGCTGCATGCTGCGAAAGGCCTGACTTTTAGAAACATTCATATATATATGTATATATATATATATACATATATATATGCATTTTTAGAAACATTCTTATATATATTTATGCATATATATATATTTATGCATTACAGAACTAGGGTACAGGCCAGAGGTGCAGAGGCTATGAGAGGATTCACCAGAGACAGTGGGGAGCAGAACAGGCCCACTAATGAAGTACACTGCTGAGGGGAACAGTGGGCAGGTCAGGAGAGGTCTGCCTCACCATGTGGATCACCTCTGGGGCAGGCAGGAATCAAACTCCTGCTGAAGTAGCTTTAGATTCTTAGTGCTATGCTTTAACCCACTGCGCCACCAGGGAATGCCAATTTTTAGAAACATTCTAAATAAATTGTGGGAAAATGAGACAATAAAGAGTCAGTCAGAATTAAATTTTGAAAGTCTTGGGGGTACAATAAAGCCATGGTTTTTCATGGTGGGGAATTATAGAAAGATATTTATTCTTAGCTCAATCAATTTTTGAAGACCTTATAAATCTCAGGCAGTCTAGGTGAAAATTTTATTCCACTTTTTAAAAACCATGACTACATTAACTAGGATGATGTGTGGGAAACTTAAACTGAATACATCCCAATATTTCCCCCTTACAAGGTAAAAAAGTTATCCCTCTGAAATGCTAGATGTTGAAAGTATCTAGTATCTCAGTGCGATAAACTTCTGCCTTCACATCCCTTGCTCTTTCAAGTTCTTGATATCCTGCTTGCTGATAGCTCTTGATAGCATGCTGTTGACAGTGAGGCCAAGGTTGTGACCTTGATTGCTACACACACCTAGTAGTTTGCTGTTTCATCCTCACAAATGGTACTCCTAATACTGAGCAGCTGAGAGCCAGTTATCTTCATCATAGGAGCTTATCCAGCCCAACGCATATCTCAGATGGGGGGAAAAATTCCAATAGGGTCTAACTGATGATGATGCTTATTCATCTTTTTTCACTCTTAGAGGGGGGAAATCTGGTTGTTTAACCTGTAAAGTTTTTATACTCAGCTTGATTTTGGAGTGAAAAATGTGTTTCCTGATATTATCACTCATGCACTTGCAGCGGGTTACAGCTTTGGAATATAGAATGTTAGGGAGGGCAGAAGCTAGGCTTGGACAAAAAAGAATTCCATTTAATTAATCAATTCTGAGTTCTGAGCTTTCATTTTTCTGTTGAGAGGCAGTATGTTCCTGCAATTAAGACCTCAGGCTCTAACATCAAAGTTACTTAGTTTATATCATGAATCTAGGACTTTACAATGATGGTACCCTGGACAAACAACTTAATTTCTGCACACCCAGTTTCTAGCACAAAACTTAAGAATACTAAGTTAAAATAATACATGTAAAGTCATAGAACAATGCCTAGTAAGATTGCCATTATTACTGTTAATATTATATTATTGTGCAATTTCTACTTTTTGTAAAAAATTTATTTTCTGCTCCTAGACAGCTTTTTATTCATGTCAGAGGTGAAAACACTTGGAAATCCAACATTGCTAATAACCTTTGAAAACTATTGACACAGTAATTGCTTAGAGGTATTGCATACTACTTAGACATTGTATTATGAACTTAAGAAGTGCCTTTTCCAAAATAATATGTTGGTGAGAAAAATATTGTAGACATGTTCCTTAGCATTCAAGAAAAAAATCTAATGCTTCAGAGTATAGGTCAGTATTACAGAGATTACAGTTTGTCTTCATCACACTCAAGTCAGACTTTTCTTCATTTGTTTAAGAAAAAACATATTAAACTTGCATATAAAATTACTCCTTTCTAAGAGATATTTATTTTCAGAGTATTGTAATCAGCATAGTTTGTGGTAGCAGAGGTTCCGTTACAGGGTAGTTATTCATTCACCCTATTATGTACCAAGACAGCTATACTGGCCATGGGATCTTTGAAATACATCCATGCCTCTGGCACTATAAAATAATATCATAAACTCAGTTACAACCATTGATAAATGGAGTTCTGTCCTAGTAACATCTGAAAAATACTGGATATTCTCCATCATTCAAATTAAGATCCCAAGGCAGCACATCCTTTGAAATGTTCCATATGTTAGAAAAATCATCTATCCTTATTCTTTAATTATTTATTTGCTACTACTTGTACATAATTTAGCTTTGACATTGCTTTTATTGTTAGTATGTTATAATTCTTGCTAAGTAGTGTGTGGTGCTTTCATCTTTATCAGTTCAGTAATTTGTAACAAAATATTAAACATATTCCCACAACCCCTAATAAAAAAAAGCACCAATGACAGCTGTCATCATTAAAAGAGAAGCAAGCAACTTGGATGGAGCTGGAAAAGATCATGCTTAGTGAGATAAGCCAGAAAGAGAAAGAAAAATACCGGGTGGTTTCACTCATAGCAGGAGTA